AATGTGTTTGAAATAAATAAGCCCCCCAGGGAGCTTAATTCCTCAAAATAGTAAATTACTTTTTAGTATTAAATACATGTACTTTCTACTTATTAATATTAAATTGATTTATTCTCTCTTGTGATTTATTTTCTAGGGTTATTTGAAGAAAATGAGAAAGAAGAATTCCCCATTTTCTAAGCAAGATGTGAAAGAGTTATTTATGAATATTGAGGAAATATATGAGTTTAACAAGTAAGTTAAAGGCCAAATTGCTGGGCTGGTGGTGCTTACTATGGAGCAAGACATCCCAAAAATTCTAGATGAAAGATGAAAAAGTCATTTTTTAGCAATTCCCACCAAAAATTTGGACTATTTTTTAGCAGTTTCTGATTCTGGCTATGATGACCCATTATTATTATTATTATTATTATTTAATTCAGTAATTATACTCATGTCATAATCTTATAAATTTTACAGTTTGGTCTTAAGGTCAATAATGATACAATTGTTAATGTCCCCATTCAGTGGTTCCTCTACCCGGCCAGTGCTATGTTAGTTTGACACTTATATAAAGGTATTGATTGATTGGTTTAAACTAAATTTTGGATTTTTCTGTATAGTGTTAAGCACATCTAGATCAGGCCCCAGTTGCTCAAAAGCTGGACAGCACTATCCACCGAGTAAATCACTCTCGAGCGGATAAGTATTAGGGAAACCAACTGCAATATCCACTGGATAGTGATTTATCCGGTGGATAGCGCTATTCAGCTTTTGAACAACCGGGCCCCTGTGGTGTCCAACATCAACTTTGTTATTTTTTAGGGCAGCGCCACTTATTGAAATTGTCTTTGCATTAGACAACGTCAGTGAAAGGACGTTGTAACTAATCTCTTAATCTCTAATTTATTCATATCCAAATTATATAGTGTCATTAAACTAGGATAATATTGATAATAATAAATACTAAGGTTGCATACATAGTGTTTTACAACTTTCCTTTTTTTTCGAAGAACTTTTCTAGCTGAGCTAGAAGAACTGGATGATGATCCTGTTGATGTAGCCAGTCACTTTGTGTCTAAGGTAAATATCTTAATAATAAGCACCACAGTAGCCCAATGCAAAATAATCACACAAATTAAAAATCCAAAATAAATACAGTCAAACACCTTTAATATAGACACTGAATAGACCATAGAAAATGTCTGTATTAATGGGGTGTCTGTTTTAAATGGGTTGAATGTAGAGGAAATGTCAGGCTTTTTCCTGAGGGACAAAGAAAACTGTCCGTAATAATGAGGTGTCCATCTTCAACGGGTGTCCGTAAAGCGGGCTTTGACTGTAGCATTATGCAAAGGTTCTGCAAAAGAGGTTTCATTTGAATGGTAACACCGCATGATTTCATCCACAGATTTGAACCTTAGAGTGACAAATAATAATCTGCCATAACTTGGTCTAGGAGCAAAAGGTTAAGATGGAACCATCAGGAAATCGAGTGCAGGGTAAAAATAAAATTATTTTATTTTCTATGGACAAAAATCTTTCACCAGAATATTTTAAGCCATATCGCATTCTTTTTCACACTTTTCAAGGGCTATAGGTATAATTAGTTATTTGTAATAACACCAAAGACAATATTTCTTATGCGAGCCTGAGAAAATAAATTTCCAATTTCACAGGATTGAAAAAGCACAGGTAAAATCATCATGCATAAAATTTCATGTTGTGAAATTTGAAGCTTTTGAAGTTTTTTTTTTCAGGCTCCCATAAGAAAAAAACTTATTACAGCTATAGCCCTTGAAAAGTGTTAAAAAGGATGTAATATGCTTGAAATTTTTCTGGTGCAAGGTTTTTGTCCACTGAAAATTAAAATTACTCAATTTCCTAATGGATTCCATCTTAAAGCTTGATTTCATTTGGAAGTAACAGAGTCACCCAGTTATATAAGGAGGCAGCGTGGCTGAGTGGTCAGCGCGTCAGACTCACAATCCGGTGGTCCCAGGTTTGAGTCCCGCTCTGGCAACTTCTTGGAGTTGTTCTGGGTCATACCGAGTTCAAATCCTTGGCCACACTTGTAAATAGCCAACTGGTTGCCTCCTGCCAGTTGGGGTTGTTAATCCTGTTACGTTCTTTTTGAATTATTTGTTTCTAAGTATTCGAGTGGAGTGCCTGTAAACTAGCTGGATAAGCTAAGTGCACTTTCCAAGTTATAAACAAGCCTGTTTTACTGTTATGCCAATCTTGTAGTCTCTTAAATAGGGTAAAAAATTGTCCACATTTTCCAAATACTTTTCCATTATGCTCGTTTTAAGGCTAGCTCAAAGATTTCTCAAAAGTCAGGAAACTTGGTTTTTCTTATTCCTGCTACTCATGTTCAGGCTCTGTGGGACACCTTTTTCACGTTACTAATACTAGACTGTCTGATTGGATAAAGATTATCCAATTAAAACCCATGACTAAAGTGGACCACCTTCCTGTTAATCTCCTGAGAGATGGAAGGCGGTCAGTTTGGGAGGACTGGATTGTTTTTTTTCTTGTGAGAAAGGGGAAAGAGTTGATGATGAAAGGCTGGCAAAAAGTGAAGATCTTGAGGATCTCTAGATGTGCATCTCTTTGAACTTTTCTGTAAAATTTAAATATTGTTGTACAATACGCTGCACAACAAATTTTAAGCTTCCTGTGAATTCTAGGAATTGTCAAAACTTCCCAACTATATTATGCCAACTAGGTGGGAAGTTGTAAGCTTAAAGAGAAATAATGAGATCTCTGTTAATTGGTAGGGATCNTGTAAACTAGCTGGATAAGCTAAGTGCACTTTCCAAGTTATAAACAAGCCTGTTTTACTGTTATGCCAATCTTGTAGTCTCTTAAATAGGGTAAAAAATTGTCCACATTTTCCAAATACTTTTCCATTATGCTCGTTTTAAGGCTAGCTCAAAGATTTCTCAAAAGTCAGGAAACTTGGTTTTTCTTATTCCTGCTACTCATGTTCAGGCTCTGTGGGACACCTTTTTCACGTTACTAATACTAGACTGTCTGATTGGATAAAGATTATCCAATTAAAACCCATGACTAAAGTGGACCACCTTCCTGTTAATCTCCTGAGAGATGGAAGGCGGTCAGTTTGGGAGGACTGGATTGTTTTTTTTCTTGTGAGAAAGGGGAAAGAGTTGATGATGAAAGGCTGGCAAAAAGTGAAGATCTTGAGGATCTCTAGATGTGCATCTCTTTGAACTTTTCTGTAAAATTTAAATATTGTTGTACAATACGCTGCACAACAAATTTTAAGCTTCCTGTGAATTCTAGGAATTGTCAAAACTTCCCAACTATATTATGCCAACTAGGTGGGAAGTTGTAAGCTTAAAGAGAAATAATGAGATCTCTGTTAATTGGTAGGGATCAATCTCAGCCTTATTAAGGGGATAGTGCTTTCCTGATATTGTCTTTTTTTCACGTCCAATGTCTTGACTGGCACTAAATCTCATTTTTTATTATTTTATTTTGTAGGAGAAGGGCTTCAAAACGTATACAGATTACTGTACAAATTATCCATTGTAAGAAAAAAAAGTTATTATCTTCTTGCTTATGGCCATATCTAGTGTAAATGGTTATAAATGTATTCAGTCGCATCAATGTTTACAGTATACTTGCTTTCACATTAGGTCAATGGAAGTACTAACAAAATGCACGCAACAAAAAGAAACTGCAGATTTTCTTAAGGTATTGTCAGAAGTTTTGGTAAACTGAAATTATAAGTAAATTTCTCATTGTTGATATTGTGGTCCTCATGCTGTGCATGTACATGTATGTGTTTAATGGAATGAAAATAAGTAATATGTTTTGCAGAAAATTCAAGTTGAACTTGGCCATTCTCTCCCCCTTGGCTCGTATTTGTTAAAACCAGTTCAAAGAATTCTCAAGTATCACCTTTTGCTACAGGTACAATAATTAAATGATTGACATGTTTATTGAGATAATATAATTAAAATGCTTACATAAAAGAGTAAACAATTGATCAGGAAATTATGGCCCAATGAATATTGTCTCGCTGTGGGGTCTTAAGGGTAATTAACCTTAAGTTTCAATGGGATGTCTGTATGGGATGTCTGTATTGTTTACCTATATATTTAAAAAGAAAAGCAATGGTTGTAGAATTATAAATTTCTTCTTACAATCTACATCTTTTTGGTGTCCTTTGAATCACTATATTCAGGTTTTGTGGGTGCACTTCTTATATACCGGAATGTTCATAATTGTAAGGAGCTGTGTCACGAAATTCACCAAAATTCAAACGGTGAGAGCTGCCAAATGCCCTCCCACCCTCCCTAAATCTGAAAAAAAAGAGAGACTGCTCATAGTCTAGCAGCTTCTGTATCTGTATTTCTCTTTCTAACCACCAATAAACTATTCATTGTAAACGTGTTGGCAAGCATGTTTTGAAATGATTTTTTGTTGTTATTTATATTGCAAGGATATTCAAAAGCACTTTGACAAGGAGAATTACGCTGAAGGTTATGATATAATTTCTGTAAGTACCGCTACATTATTTTTAAATATAATTTTTGGAAAAATGTTAAGAATGGTAACCTTTGTTTTTTTACTTCTAAACCATACAAAGTTGTTTATGTTTATGATGTTGGTATGCCTGTGCCTTCTACAGGATGCCCTCTCTGCAATGACTGGAGTAGCACATCATATTAATGAAATGAAACGGCAGCATGAACAAGCTGTACATGTACAGGTAAAAAAAACTGCATTTTTTGATGTTAACTTTTCCGAGGTTAATAAACATGCCATTTCCGAGTTGCTCCAAACCTTTCTTTCAAAGTGAGGCTATTTGCGAAGCTATTGATATGAGAATGTTTTTTTATTCTCATGCAAATCAAACTCCTTTTCACAAGAGAGGATTTGCACTTAACCTTGTTTCGAAAGTGAATGTTGTTTGAATGCGGAAATAGCCTATTATTTTTGTCAACAGGAAGAAAAAAATACAGACATATGGTAATGAAAAAAATTCAGGCAAAATCCACTGCAATGTTTCAATTTTTTTTCCTTTTTTTGCGTTTGTGTGCCACACAAGATAAAGACAAAAACTATGATATTGGTATATTGTTGTTAACAATATTGTGTTGTGTTTACTTCATAGGAAATTCAAAGCCAGATGTCAGATTTTGAGGTAAGGGACCTACTGTATTCATGTTTTTAATCGTGCCTTTCTTTTTTTAAAACTGACTAATGACATGACAAGTGATTACGCATAAACTGTCCTGTTAATGCTAAGTCAGGGCTACTAATAGCCAATCAGATATGAGAGTTTTATTACTGCTGTGACTGACATTTTTTTCTGTTCTCCTCTAGGGCCCAGATCTTACAACTTATGGTAGTCTAGTTTTGGAGGTATCGACTTGGAATTTTTGTTCTTTATAACTTGACAATCTTAAACACGTTGATTATTTCTGTTGATAAATGACCATGGTGTTCCAAGTGTCGTGGAAATAATTGCAGTTTTCCTCACCCATCAGCAATGAAATGAAATTAATTTTATTGTAATAAGGAGTTTAAGCAAGACGTTTTTGAGCAACACACGTTGACGGGAATTGAGTCGTTGTCCCTTTCAATATGACATGAGGCTACTAAATGTATATTCCCAAGTGTATTTTCTCTCATAGAGACGATTTACCCGAAAATTTGGTCAAAATCACGCTCCAAAATTGCAAAAAGTCTACTTCCGATTGACGTGCGTCGCTCAAAAGCGTCCTTGCTTTAACTCCCTTCAATGTCAATGTTAAACAACCATGTTGCCCATGAAATGTTATCAAGTGAGTAATTTCAACTTATTGCCTTCTTGATAGGATACCTTCCGGATTCATAACACCAGAACTGACAGGCATTTGTTCCTATTCGAGAAAATCCTCCTCATTACAAAACGGAAGGAAGGTGGCTATTCTTGCAAAGCATCTTTGATGGTGAGCATCCTCTGGAAAATGCTTGATGATACTTTGCTTGTTTAAATGACGCCTTGTTTACATATACTCGTAGACGTTTTGTTAGCTGCTCTTGCTATGGTTTACAGGCAAATAATCGAAAGAAAAAATCCCAATCAAACATGATTAAAAGTAAATAACCTATACTAGAAGGAGGCGAACCACTTGGCTATTTACGAACGCGGCCGAGAAGCTAAGATTGGGACTTACAAGACTCAAAATAACCGTGACGGCCGGCCTCAAGGGATGATGTCCGACCTGAATGGTGGCTTGAACGGCCAAAAACTGTTCACGATTTTCCACAACGCTAAACGAAACGAGACAATCTTTAACCTCACAAAAAAATACTATGAAAGAAACACTAGATGAACACGGTTCGGCAGGATGCATAATATATGCATGGGGCTGTGCGGAAATCTTACCAAAATTTCTTTGGCCGGTCAACATATCCGGCCATCTTCCGAAAATTATTTTGAGCCCTGGGGCCCGTTTCTCGAAAGTCCCGGTAACTTAACGGGCCCGGAATCATATTTTTAAATCAAAGTCTCAAGAAAAGTAGGGTGTGTTCTGACCTCTAATGAAGTCCATTTTGTTTCGTTAGCTAATAACTCTACTGTATAATTTTCAAAACTTTTAAAACTCCCTTCTAAAATGGAAAACAAAACAGCTTAACGGGCCCGGTAATTACCGGGAGCTTCGAGAAACGGGCCCCTGGCCTAACGAGAATGCTCAATTCGGGACCTTCCGATTGCTAGTGCGACACGCTGACCACTCTGTCACACTGCCTCCCTAGATTAAATGCAATAATTAACAAAATCTCATTTTGCAACACTTTCGATTGTTTTGTTTCTTTATTCATCAGTTGTCAAACATGATGCTGTCAGAGTCAATACCTAAAGAACCACTTGCTTTTGAGATAATACGCTTTGATAATCAGAAGAACAGTTTCGTATTTTTGGTAAGTGGTCATTCCCCACTTGTGTAACTCTAAGAAGAATGGGTACAAGCTTTGGGCACAATGATCGCTGGGATTGTTTGGCTAGACAAGCGTTGTTACAATTGGTCGATGGTATTCAAGGCAAGCATTAACCAGTCATAAGTAACGCTGGTCTACCCAAACTATCCCAGAAATCGTTGCGCTGAAAGGATCTAACCATTTCTGCAATGGGGATTTGAAAAATTTGTCCTGCATCTTTTGTCATTGGCCATCCAGATAAACTGTAGGAAAACTGGATGGTAATGAGTAACGAAAAGTTAGCCTTGTTGTAAAAGACCTTTCTCAACTTACGCTCAGTATAGTCTTTACCCCAAGACCATGTTATTTAAACTGAAACTTTTCTAGCTTTTAAATCTGTGGACGAAATCCTATGGTGTTACCATTCAAATAAAACCTCATCAGCAGTACTTCTGCATCACGATGGTACTATTTATTTAGTATGTGGTTCTAACTTTTGAGTCGGTGGACGAAATCCTACGGTTTTACCATTTAAATGAAACCTACTGAGCAGTACTTTCACATGGTGCTATTTATTTAGTATGTAGTTCTAACTTTTGCGTCTGAGGATGAAATCCTCTGGTGTTACTATTCAAATGAAAGCTCTTTGGCAGATCTTTTGCGTGGTGCTGTTTATTTCTTAGGATTTTACAATAAGAAATTGCAACTTTTGTGAATTTTTGTTTTTTTGGCCACTGAACCCCTATCTCATTTAACGAGGGATTCAGAAACCGGTAATATTAACTGAAGGACAATTTGAGGACAACTATAACAACACCTTGCGTCACGAAGGAATGGCGAAATAATTTTACAATCGTGCTTCTCGTTTCCGTTTCAATAGGCAAGAAATGCTGAGCAGAAACGAAAGTGGACCCTTGAACTCAAGGGGTTAATTGTGGACAGCTTAACAGCACAAGTCCCCAAAGAGGTAAAACTGTTGGAGTCGCTGTATTTAGTTTTCTCCTATCCATGAACTTCATACTTCTCAAAATTAATGTCTTATTTTGTTAGATGTTGATAAACAAATAGTATTATGTGAATACTGGAGAATTAGTTCCTTTGACTGTCATTTCCATAGGACAGATTTCATCTTCTCACTTGTCTCTATCTGAGTCTTCATTTTTGTCTCTCGAATGCTTCATCGTACTCATTATCGTATTGAATTTAATTGGAATTTTAAGGAACCTGGGCCAAAATTCATGAAAACCACCTGCGGTGAGGTGTATCCTGAATATCTTCCTTAACAAGTCTGTTACAATACGTTCCTTATTTTTGCTAATCTCGTCATCATGCGAGAGGAACAAACAAACAATTAAACCAAAAAGCAAATTATAAGGGAACAGTCTACTCGTCCTGCGCTTTTTAGGACATCCGCTGACATACCACGCCGGCTTTTAAGCCAAAGCATGAACACAATGGCAGAAAAGAGGGAGGAAGTCGTCCTCATTCTTAATGTAGTAGTAGTAGTAGTTAGTATTCACTGTAACTTTTAATTTCTTTCAGGCAAAAGCCCTAATTCTAGGTAAAAAAGAAGTCAAGGAAAGAGGCGAACAAGGTAATTATTTAAGATTGTTTTGTTTTCCTACGCACCGGTACGTAGACCAGCTTATTATATCTACTACCAACTTAATTAATTGCACAGAAAGTGAAAGGCTGTCATTGGCAAGTGCAAACAACTCAGCAGAAAATACACATATGCCGAGCTATCCCAAAACGATTCTTAACTAGATTTTGAATCTAAAGAATCCACACTAATTGTATTTGTTAGATTAGTGCGTTTCTTTGGGTACAGGTCCGGAAAAAAGGCACCTTACAAGTTACTGTGAAGCCCGTTAGGTTCTCGCCGGTTCGCTCCACTGATTGGTGTCTCGCGAAAGAATCACCCATCGCCCGATTTTGGTGTCTTTTGTCGTAACGAATCCAAAAATCTGAGATTAGGTATTTAATAATAAAGTGCATCCTAAGTGTTCGGACAAACAAAAGTCACTTTCGTAGAAGAATTCATGAAATAATATACATGTCCTTGAATCTACAGAAAACCATGATAACGAAGGCAAGAAAAGGTCAAGACCTGGTGAGAAGCTAAACAGAGGAGCTCATCAACTGAAAGGTAAATTTCGATTTATTTTCTTACTCGTGAATTATTTTTCAACAGTCGAAGAGAAATTTCGTATCTGAGCGCTTTCATGTAATATCTTCTATATCAGTCACATTTTGATGAATTACTTACCTGGGTATTCTGTTTAGATTCGGTTAAACAAATCCAAAATCAGTTTCTTTTTTTATCTTTTCTTTTTTCAATTTTGCGGACCTTCACATTTCGGTGTTATAACCTCAAATAACCCTGAACTGTAACGTTTTTTAAAAATTGTTAAAAGTTACTTGTAAATCATCATCATCATCACCGTCATCATCATCGTCATCGTCATTGTTTTTATCATCATCATCATCATCATCATCATCATCATCATCATCATCATCATTTTTAATAACTGTTCACACCTTTATTTTGGTTCATTTTGTTTTGCTTATTATTTTCCTTTTTCCAGCTCTGAACAATTCTCGCCTTCTTGTTACCGTAACGGCAGATTTTGTAGATGTTAATCGCTTGCGGACATCGTACAACGGCATCCACCGAATACTCGAACAAACGGCCTTTAATAACTCCGAGTTAGAACTTAAGAGACTGGATNTCATCATCATCATCATCATTTTTAATAACTGTTCACACCTTTATTTTGGTTCATTTTGTTTTGCTTATTATTTTCCTTTTTCCAGCTCTGAACAATTCTCGCCTTCTTGTTACCGTAACGGCAGATTTTGTAGATGTTAATCGCTTGCGGACATCGTACAACGGCATCCACCGAATACTCGAACAAACGGCCTTTAATAACTCCGAGTTAGAACTTAAGAGACTGGATCGGATTGCTTATGAACTAGCCAATAGAAACGCTTGCCTCTGGCTCCACCAAAAGCTTGCTAAACCGTATAACACACAGACTCTAGAAGCTGTAAACAGAAGGATAAATGCTTCTTTGCAAGGAAATCTAATGAATAAGATGAACTTAAAATGTAAACCTTTAAACATGGAACGTTTTTCTGAGTTCAGCAGTGTTCCTCGCAACTTTACGTATAATCATAAAGGTATGATAAGGTAATGTTAAGGTAATGATAAACTATAATTCCTCTGACTAATTACTGCATTTAATAAATGTGTCTATAGGTCTTATATTAAGTTTTTAACTTCGCCAAGGATTAAGGCCTTCATTGATTCAATCCCTTAAATTTTCCAACGGCACACTAATCACGAAAGGCGGGGCCTTGTTTCCGGTTAGAACCAATAACTTAATTTGCTAACCATAAATATTAGCATTTAGAGTAAAGAATTTGTTTATCGGGTTATTTTTGGAGTGATTACGCAACGCTTCTTTGTAATTTGTAATTATAACTAAAAAAAATTTCGTAATTGGCTAAGCAGTCTTCATTGATTTTTATCCGATCTTTCAATCTTTGCTTGTGTTTTTTGCCTTTATTATCTTCAAACAGATATTAAACATCAAGCCAATGGTTTTATTCTGTTCTTGCTCTGTTTTTCTATAAACTTTTTGCATGACCTTTTTCTATTTAGAAACTTTTTCCTCTTCTTCTGTCCGGCTTTTGCTGATAAATTAACTGATATTCGTCCAACAACAACAAAAAATGGTTGTGGCAGATCGGCCCCCGTGAATTCCGTTTATGATTGCATTTTTCCCGCCAATTTTTGCCGTTTTGCGTACAATCCCCTTAGTCTTCTACACAAGATGTAATTTATTTAGTGACTTTTTTTTCTCTCGTAAAGGATCACCTCTTAGGAGTAGCAGGAAAAACAAGAAGGTACGTTTACACAAATAAGAAACACGTGGCATAAAGAAAGTAAGGACCTTTGGACTGGACTATGGATACCAGATTAAATATGACTACGGGTTTTCATTCCAGTCCGTGTGCTCTAACGAATCACTAACCTGTGTCGTAGACGTAATTTAACCCCAGTTAGTAACGTCTGCGAAGCAGTGCCAATATCCTTGTTCTGGGTCCCCAACGGACTCAACGAATTACCGAAAGTACGTTTCGAATTTCCTTTCATGCTGATTGGCTAATTGACAATGGCTTTTTTAATAGGCCAATCATGGCGCGTACTCAAATCCTGGTACTCAGGTAGGGCCCGGAACAAGGATTTTGGCGCTGTTTCGCAGACGGACTTAACCAGAGTTTAGTTTCGTCTATGGCGCAGGCTAAAGAATCACTTGCCACACAAGTCTTTATCCCTTATGTTCTTTTTTAGCTAATCGGCAACAGGAAAAAGTGAGAGTTTCAAGGACGTAACTGGCTAAAAATTCCTAAAAAAATTAATGTACTCGTGCTCGACTTCCTACTATAACAAACCTATAGGTCGCTATTCTCGAGAGTAATTTTTCGTTCGATTTCCTGGTTTGGCATCGCTACGCCTGGTGATTGGCTGTAAAAAACCTCGCCCTTTTGTTTCAACCAATCATAAGGAACGCAAAACAAATTGCTTCGCTATGCCGGCGTTTTCCCGCGCTTTACGCCAGCTACATTTAATTGTTTGATCTGATTGGTTCACTGAAGTATCTTTGTCGACTGTGATTAGTAAAATTGATAACTTTGGGTTTTAGGTTAAAAACCTGCTGTTATATTAAAAGCTGTCGACAATTACGCTTATTGAGAACAATTGTACATAAGTAGCGAAACCTTTTTAGTGTTGTAAATTTTTCACTGTAATCTTTACGTACTGTTAGGACGCAGAGAAGAAGTCAGATGATGAAGGCGAACCCCGACCACCATCAGACGTGTACTCCTCAGACGACGAGAAGGTATTCGCGTTGTGTTATTCGCTTCTTTAACTGGATGACAAAACACGATGGAAAAAGGGGCAAACTCGGAGTAAA